TTCCAGCTGAGTACTCCTGGATAGCTAGGAGTTCGAGAATATTGAATAGTTAATTCTAACCTTCCAGCTGAGTACTCCTGGATGGCTAGGAGTTCCAGAATATTGAATTATTTTGTTCAAGCTTGAAATCTCATTCCGAAGTTCCCAAACCTAAATAAGATTAAAAATATTTTTATAGATTCTTTAGGTAGACAATTTTTTAGAAATTTTTTTGAGCTGACCCTTTTTATCTAGATAATGAAAAATGGAGCAACGTCTCTTTGTTTAAATGTTTAAGGCTTCAGATGTTTAAAAGTTTGATAGAAATAAGAATGAAGATATAAAGTCGAAAAATAATTTTTTTTAATGAGGATTAAGCCGCGCAATTAGGAAAAGAAAATCTTCAACCTTATCCAGCTGTTTCTGATCTTCTACAACTAAGATGCTACATTTAGAGTTCTCCAGTATGTACTTGCAGGCCTCTTTCCCATTGGTCGGATACACACCTAAAAAGGCTATAGTTAAGGAACCCTCATATTGAACAAGTAAATAGATCGATTCACAATGATCCCCTTAAGCTTTTATTATAGATTAAAAAATATGTGTTTTAAATGAATAATAAGTTTTTTGCCCAAAATGAAATTTTCTAACCATACATAAACCTTTGCAATCTTTCCAAAGAAATTGGGTTTTTTGCCACAAACTCTGATTAAATTATCTAAGTTTGAAATATTAAAGATGTTCACCATTAGATTAGACAGAGATATGAGAATTGATGTTTTTGGTTTAGACTCAATTTCTTTAGATTATTCAATTTAAAGGAATTCATAGTTTGAAATATCTAAAGTCAACGATCATAAATATAAAATTAGGAAATCAAAGTTTGTTGCAAAGGCTCAATTCCTTTGAATTGATTCAATTTCCTTACGCTTACCTACTGATAATCCTCCTGCATGTATTGCTGCTAAGCTAGCTATTGCCCATTCCGGTGCATTGAACCCAAGAATACAGACAGATTCAAACCTTGAGAGAATATTTGTTTTGATATCTCGTCAAGCTACAATAAATTGGATGTAAGATGAAAATTTTACATGCTTTCAATCATAACTCCTTTTATTTGAGAAAAACAACAATGTTTTGAATATCTCTGCAAAATTTTTAAGAAAAACAAATTTGCCCATTTTCATCTCAAAAGCCAATAAATTGTGTACAACTACTTTCTAGGAAAATTATAAATTGTATCTAACCAGCGTTTCCCTTGACCAAATTTTGTTATTAAACAGAATATTTTAACATTATTTTATATTTTTGCATAACATATCTCATTATCATCATTAACAACCACTTCCAATTGCATGATAAGTAATAGATCCAAAATTTGGCTTGTTACGTACCTATCCAGTCCCAGCTTGATAAACGCTTTAGCAATGTTTTTTACTTCTTCCTGATACTGAAACCAGGTCCAAACTCTCTGGAAAAAAACATCCTTATAGAAAAACTGTTTCTTGAAAATTGAAAAAAATTGAAGTTGCGTACACGGGTGCTTCTTTGCAGGTGCATTGATTACAATATGACACATGTAAGTTTAATTTAAAGAGACCCTTCCAGAAAAGATGGCAATGCCCTATTCCCAACGTGCTTTCAAAGCTTCACTGATCAAGTGCGAATTAGATATCAATGTTTATAATTGAGAAAACTGATTATTTCAAATTGTTGTTTCGCTACAAAGGAACTTGCGCATTGGTTCTGAAGGAAAACATCAGAACAAAAAAACTTTAAAACCTTAAAAAAAAAATGTGTTCCAGAAAAATGATCAGATAAAGGTTTCAATGGTGCTGTTGTGAATCGGGCATTGACATCTTTTCAAGTAGGTATCATTCTAAATAACAAAAACTTGAATAATCGTTTCACGAAATTTTCTCATTTTTTTCGAAATTTCGCATCGTTTTCGCATTTACTTTGCTTTATTCATTTTCGCGAAAAAATGCGAAATTTCGCTAAAAATTTTTCGAAATGCAAGCGAAAATTTTCGCATTTTTTAGCGTAATGTTTCGATCGTCGCAAACCCTAGTTTTAGGTAAAGGACATTTTAAACTTCTTAAAATATAAAGAAAGAAAATGAAAAAATACTTTTGAGATAATTTATTTTTGGAGGTAAAAAACGAGTAATTTATTTAAGATATTTTTGTATTTTGTGTTTCACATTTACATTCTCTTTTATTTCTAAATATGAGTTCTGTGTCGAAAAAAACTTAAAATATTTAAGTTTTAAATTTGCAAAATGTATTTTAAAGTTGTGTTGTTTCAATCTAATCTACAGAAAGAGAAGAGAAGTTCTGAATGTCTAAAAGCATACGTTTATAAAATTTTTGAACATTTTAGAATAGTAAGGCCGAGCCAAATCACCTTAAACCGAGTTTTTTTTGTTAAATCGACTTTTGCATAAGAAGTACTAAGTTCAAGTGATATATAATGTAAAAGCTATAATATTTTGTCTAGCTTGCATATTTATGACCTTTTTCTCCAATGTCCAAGAACATTTTTTTTTCAGCAAAACTTTATAGTTTGACGTCATACGATACAGTCACGGATTTGGTTTATGTTTGCCAATGAAAGGTGAGAACGAAAAAAATATAAAATTCACACCTCATCATTGCTGTGCGGGTCCCGAACTCTCATAGCAGCTGCAAAATATAGAAAATATACAATTTTTTTTTATTTGTTCTGTAGTGATATGAAAGCTAAGAATTAAAATTAAAAATCAAAATCTACGGATATTTCTCCGATAGATTTTAAAATATACAGGGTTACCCAAAGAGGATGAGACTCAAAGACGACTTCCAAAGTTATTTTTTCTTGAATAAAGTCTTTGCTCTCTTCCACTTTGCTAAATTTTGACCCTTAAAGAAACGCAACACGACCCAAAAACGTACTGATGGCACATTATAGCTGTAGGTCCCCCTTTACTAGCTGTAGGTCCCCCTGTACTAGCTGTAGGTCCCCCTGCACTAGCTGTAGGTCCCCCTGTACTAGCTGTAGGTCCCCCTGTACTAGCTGTAGGTCCCCCTGTACTTACAAAGGTTTGCCGCTTCATTAACTGATTTAGTTAGTAATCCAGGAACAGAAATAGGAGTGTACCCAGCCTCAACAGAACTAAAATTCATAATCATTTTATTGTACTGTACTGTACTGTACTGTACTGTACTGTACTGTATTGTATTGTATTGTATTGTATTGTATTGTATTGTATTGTATTGTATTGTATTNAACAGAACTAAAATTCATAATTGTTTTATTGTACTGTACTGTACTGTACTGTACTGTAATGTGTACCCAGCCTCAACCGAACTAAAATTCATAATCATTTTATTGTACTGTATTGTACTGTAGTGTGTACCCAGCCTCAACAGAACTAAAATTTATAATCATTTTATTGTACTGTTCTGTACTGTACTGTGTACCCAGCCTCAACAGAACTAAAATTCATAATTGTTTCATTGTACTGTACTGTACTGTACTGTACTGTAATGTGTACCCAGCCTCAACAGAACTAAAATTCATAATTGTTTTATTGTACTGTACTGTACTGTACTGTACTATAATGTGTACCCAGCCTCAACAGAACTAAAATTCATAATTGTTTTATTGTACTGTACTGTACTGTACTGTGTACCCAGCCTCAACAGAACTAAAATTTATAATTGTTTTATTGTACTGTACTGTACTGTACTGTACTGTAATGTGTACCCGGCCTCAACAGAACTAAAATTCATAATCATTTTATTGTACTGTACTGTGCTGTACTGTACTGTAATGTGTACCCAGCCTCATTAGAACTAAAATTCATAATCATTTTATTGTACTGTACTTTACTGTACTGTACTGTGTACCCAGCCTCAAAAGAACTAAAATTCATAATTGTTTTATTGTACTGAACTGTACTGTACTTTGTACCCTTTCTCAACAGAACTAAAATTCTTAATCATTTTTTAGCACTGTACTGTACTGTACTATGTACTCTTTCTCAACAGAACTAAAATTCTTAATCATTTTATAGCACTGTACTGTACTATACTGTGTACCCATTCTCAACAGAACTAAAATTCTGAATAATTTTATTACACTATACTGTACTGTGTACCCTTTCTCAACAGAACTAAAATTCTGAATCATTTTATTACACTGTACTGTACTGTACTGTGTGCCCTTTCTCAACAGAACTAAATTTCATAATCATTTTATTGTTCTGTACTGTACTGTATATTGTGTGGCCTTTCTCAACAGAACTAAAATTCATAATCATTTTATGTTTATTGAGTAATATAAAATTATTAATTTTATATGACTTGAATCTTTTTTCTTAGTGCTTTCTACTATGAGGGAGGGAACCCCCGGACAACATGAGCCTTCGCTATGCAAACACGAGCCTCCCAGATTTGCTAGGCAGACCGAGCCTCCACTATGCAGACCAAGCATCCGCTAGGCAGTGAACGAACCTCAACCATACAGAACAGATTTTTAAAATCTTGGTTTTAATGTGTAATGAAAAAAAATAGCAGAGAATTGGTCTTCATAGTGGAGGCTCGGTCTGTATAGCAGATCTGGGAGGCTCGTGTCTGCATAGCAGAGGCTCATGGTGTCTAGGGGTTCCCTCCCTACTCCTATATATTTACTTTGCTTGTTTTTTGTTTGTAATAAACGTAAAAACGGCTAAACCCATCGGGCCCAAATGTTGTGTGGAACCTCTTATGACCCTTTTACAACAGAACTAAAATTGATTGTGATTTTAATATAATATCATTTTATGTTAATTATTGAGTTTATCCAAAATGTTATTTTTATATGACTTAAACCTTTTTTTCTGAGTGTTTTCTGGAATATACAGGGTGTCCCAGAAAGCATGATAGTAGTAAGACCACTTGACAGTCGTTTTACTAGTTTTAGTTATTTCAAAGAAACTGAGTCTTTGTCATAAACTCTGATATTATGATTCCTATATCTTTCTAATACGATGACGTGATCTTTGATAATTTAAATTAAGAAGTCAGAGATAAAAAGTCTAAATTTGAAATATCATAGGTTTACATCATTAGGTTATAAAGATTGTAGGGATTGGAAAAGGAAAAACTGAGTTTGTGGCGAAACCCCAGTTGCTTTATGAAGCATTAAACTTAACTATTAAGTTATTTTTATTTTGAATGAACCTGCTGTGAAGAAATATTATATTAGTTTTTGGCCTGGTAGCGAAGTTCACAGTGGCTCGGAGCTTGTTTTACGGGGCTCGGAGGTAAATTACCTGGCTTACTGGCAATTTGTTGAGGCTTAAGACGACGTAATACCCCCCTCCCTTGTCCATGGGTCTTATTTTCAACAGGTTTTGGTATTATAAGATATTTATATTGAAGGTATTATATGCTTCATTTATTTTGCCTACGGTTACCAAACAGGAATAAGACAATGCTCGCAAACCATTTTCATAGAAATATAGTTTTAATATAAATAAGAAATAGGTTTTATGAAATTATGTTTATCGAGTAAATAATTAACCAAACCAACCTCATTAGAAATATCCCTATAAAATAAACTCTGTTCAATTATGGAAACATTTTAATTTATTTAATCTAATTTGGGCGCTTCACACATTATATTACATATATACAAAAAAATCCTTTTTCAACTAAAGTAATGAAATGACTACAAAGAAAAACCTTCCAGTGTTATACAGTTTACAGAAAAGTTCCACCTAAAGATTTGATACTTAGCTTTATTTGTTTGCTAATTCTAGTAAACAACAAAGTAGCCTTTTATGTTGAGAGAGTAATAAAAAATAGTTAAATTTGAAGAAAAAATGGTGCGAAGAAATGTTGTTAATTAGTATTTGGGGGGAAAACACCTCTAGGGAAAGCTGATTATATAACCTTTGTCCAAAAATCCAAGGGGGCAGCCCTCCCCACGAGATTCTTTGGGGGAAAGAGGACTATTGCCCCCCTTCGTGTACGCTTATATCTTATATTTTTCAGAGCTATTGGCATATTTGGCATAGAGACTGATAATTGTGACGCACACAGTTAGAGACGTCATCTGGTCGACCAGTGTAAGGAACGGCCTGCAGTGGTTAACATTATGAAAATCTTTGTAAAATAATTTATGACATTTTTTTCTAAAGGAATGTCCAGTGGGTGTGGACAAGGTGTGCCCCTAGCAAAAAGCAAATCCCTTTACAGGGTCCATTACTATACAGACATTTTCTGTATTTTCTTCCATTTTCCTTAATTGTACAGATAAGAGATCCCAACATTAGTATTTCTTAGAATTCTTTATTATATGTGGTTTGGTTTTGAAACTTAATTAAAGGTTAATTTCTATTTCGTTATGGCTAAAATACAGGGTGTCCCACAAAAAATGAAAATTGGTGAATAGTTTTGAATGTCTTCTTCCACATACTGTATTAGATATTAAAGACTTTTTGCAGTTTTTTTTCTTTATAAAAATGTTTAACTCATATATATTTTACTGTAAAATCAATTTTACGATAATATAACTGTCACATACAAATTTTTATTAGTCTCTTAGTATCAAACAACGTATCAAGTTATGGAAAAAGACATTTTAAACTACTCACCAACTGTCATGTTTAGTGGGACACCCTGTAACTGAAGTTTATACGCGGATATATGTATGTGACGCGGGATGTTATACGATGTTCTGTGTTCACTAATCTACGACCACATCGCAACTAAATACGCAACAAACCAACGAAGCAACTGTATATACCTTCAGGCAGGTGGGGTGGATGTTAAGGCCATTTTGTAGATTTTGTTCCAATAATATATTTTTTAAAGGAATGTATTACAAAAGTTGGTTTCAATTTATAACATGACTAAAAATATTCAAAATATTAAGTTTACAATTTTTATTACGCAAGCAAGATTTTAGAATTATTTACAGGTGAGCTAAGATATTTGGGGGGTTTACAAAAACCTTAGTTGAACCAAAGCCGGTTTTTTATCAGAAAACCAGCACACCAACAGAGGCAGTTTTATTTATTCGAGAGTAATATGTATAATAAGATTGATATTTTCTCTAGTTCTTTTTATAAGGCTGTTGTGAAATGTTTAAACCACATTTTTATCAGTCGTCTATTGTATATGTTTTTTGTATTTTGCCCATTACTCCTTAACAAAAGTTAAAAACATGCAAATGTTTGGTCTAGGGCTACAAAAAAGTAAGAGTGAGTTGGAAAGGTAAACCCGAAGGCCAGGGTGTGTAACACTTTAAAGTCGAGGCTGTATACAAATTGATGAATAACTTGCAATATTGTCTAGATTTGTAGTAAACGCCTACTCCATAAAAATTTCTCGAACCAGTATCTATCCAGGTACAGTTCAGTTTTATTTAGAGCTATCAATGTTTAAACCCGGCCCGGGTACAATCTTGTTAGCTATCGATATCAATCAATGAATAATGGGTTTTACGTAGAAGTTTACAAACATAGATAGTTAATAATGTACAACGTACTGCAGGTTTACAGAATATCATGTTTACCCAATATTTATTACAGATTAAGAAGTTACAATTACAATATCCGCAAAAAATCATATCCATATCACAAACAAAAACTAAAATATATCTATTGGTATTTCTCCCTTTGCCCCTCCCCCTGCACTGTTTTGAATATTGAAAAAAATCCTTTTGTAACAAACCATGAAAGTGAATTTGCATGAATGTTTCTTTTTGCTAAATCATTTGTAAATTTTATTTCAAATATTTAATTTGATAAAATCTAATAAATAGCAAAATAAACACGATAATGATCAAAGCCATTCCTTGGATAGAGGATTACTTTTATTTCCTTTTTTAAACTGCAATTTTTCTTTTAAATGGATAATTTCAAGTTGATAATGTATTATTTTCAATTTTTGGTTTTCTACAAAATGGACTTGCGAATTTTTTTCGCACATGTAATGATACAATTACAAATACTTGAGATTTTATCAATAAGTCCAAACTGTCATAGTGCCATTTTTACACGACAGGTCATTTTTGATAGCTCAATTAGTCTTAACTTTAGAACCTATGTTACCCACAAACGTAAGTTTTCGTATTTACTGCTGTGGTTGTAATTTATATCAATATTGATGGAGACTTTATTTTGATTTCTACCAAGCAATTTCAACCAGCAGAAAAAAATTTAAACAAATAGAAGTTGTCAATTATCAACTTCTCTTTGTAAACTTGTAATTTAAAATTGCTTGTTAGGGATCAAAGCATTATTAATAAAAACTCGTCTTTATTGGATTGATATCGCTGACCAATGTATATTAAATGTTTTTTGATGGGCTATATGTATTTAAAATATATTTAACTAGATACAGAGCGTCCCATATCATATTAGATTATATGCAAGATTCAACTCTGAAATACGCAAATATTACTCAAAAAAGCCTGCATGTTTTCTGCGTGCAACGTGCAAATTTTTATGTTGGACTTATACAATGTTTTAAAATGATTTATTCTTTTTAAATCTTCAATTTGGAGCATTAAACGATCCGAAATCTGTAAACAAGGCTACTTGAGTTATTTTGACGTAAATTGAATTATAGTAGAATGATGTGACGGCCAGCTGATGTACTTTGTCGTAAATATGTTAGTTTTTGGTGAGGGGGATGAAAAAAATAATACAGGGTGACCCAAAAAGGATGATTCGGTAAAGACGTTCTGAAACTTTTTAAATGTGACGATTCCAAGTTTAAGTTAAGTCTTCAGTCTTAAATATAAAATGTGATGGCTTAATAAGGCGAAGAAACAAACAAGTTTACAGTTGCAGGAAGATATAAATATGAGGAAACAGACTGAACAAATTATGTACAGTCGTCTCTGAGCCTGGAGTCTTATCCTTTGTGGGTAACCGTGTAACTATAAATTACATTTTTTTCTAAATAACTGAAAAGAGAAGACGATTTTTATAAATGTGTATAAAAAAGTTTTAATTCTTCAAGAAAAATACTTGTGAATCGTCAATTTGATTTCTAACAGTAGACATCAATTGCAATTGAACGTAACAGTAAGAGGTTGTTATCGTAGATATCATAGACTTTTTTGAATGTGGTCTGTCTGTGTTTTTTTTTGAGGGGGAGGGGGGTTGAATGGATGCTGAAAATATTTAGTTGTTTTTTATTTCATCTATCAATTTATATCTAGGAAATTTTTTAAATTTTCCTATTGTCTTAAAGGCAAAACCAGGCAGAAACCAAATTTTGAAATCTCAACACTTTAAATACAGGATGTCCCACGAAACATAACAGTTGGTGAATAGTGTATAATGTCTTCTTCCATATTTTGTTAAGTTTTTTTTATACCAAAGAGAATAATAAAAAATATCACATATCAAATATTATAGAAAAATTTATTTCAAAGTAAAATATATTTGAGTAAAAGATTCTTTTAATGAATTATACTGCGAAAATTCTTTAGTATCTGATACAGTATATGGAAGAAGATATTCAAATTTATTTACCGATTGCTGCAAAGATGGTATTGTCCGATTCATAACTGTACCGTAGTTCGTTAATATTTAGAATTTTGTAAACAGATTAATTTTAATTGGGCTTTCTCTAAAAAAGTGCACATGCTTGCACATTTCTACTGCAGGAAAACATATTGAATTTATCAGAATTAAAAACTTTTACCACTAGAAAAACTGCAATATCTTCCACATTTTTAATCATTAATCAGATAAAGATTGCTGCGGTGCCGTTGTGAATTGGACATTCCTCTTTGCATGAATGATGGTTACCTTGAAATTACGCTTTCAGTCAGTTGATAACTACTGTAACTGTTTTGATAGAGATCATGATAGAGATCATGATAGGGATCATGAGAGGGGTCATTACAGAAAATATGATAGGGATCATGACAGAGATATTGATACGGATCATTATAGGGATCATTGTAGAGAACATAATATGGATCTCAATAGAGGTCATGATATGGTTAATGATAGATCATGATAGGTATCATGATTGGGATAATGATAGGTATCATGATTGGGATAATGATAAGGATCATGATATGGATCATGATAGAGATCATGATAGACATCAGGATAGAGATCATGATAGGGATCATGATAGAGATCATGATAGGGATCATGATAGAGATCTTGATAGGGATAAAGTTAGGAATTATGATACAGATCATGGTAGGGATCATAATAGGATCATGGTAGGGATCATAATAGGGGGTTATAATGGGGATCATGATTGGGATCATGATAAGGATCATGATAGAGATCATGTTAGGGATCATGATAGGGATCATGATATAGGGATCATGTAAAAGATAATGATAAGGCTCATGAAAAAGATCATGATAGTGTTCATGATGGGGATCATGATAAAGATCATGATAAGGATCATGTTAAGGATCATGATATAGATTCAGATAGGGATCATAATTATATTTCTTGATATTTTTGTTAAGAATAAAATCATAACATTTTGAATATTTAATTCATGTAGTTTTCAGTAGGAAAATTCAGGGGAGAATGCCCGTCCATCCCCCCGCCCCCCCCCCTCCTAGTTGCACCTGTTGATTGAAAACAAATTAAAAGTCATGAGAAATAGATCATAACGATTTAAATTTATTAAATTTAAATTAATTAATTTATATTACAAAATTCTCAGTACAGACACACATCATTTTGGATAAAAAGGACATTTCGGGACTAAACATAAAATTTAAATCATTGAACAAATTTGTACAATGCTATAAATAAAATATGCGTTCAGAAAATGTAAGGTTCTTTGAGTATTCTATGTGTATTTTAGCACTATAGTAACGAGGTATTATAATTTGACGCTCTGTATATCTTATAAGAATATATTGCGTATACCGTATATACCCACATTCATTTGGTTGGATGGGGCCCTTGAAACAACCAGTTCTCCGACACCTGTGAACCATCACAGATATCTAGATACAACATCAACTAACTCAACTATAAAAAAAGTTAACTATATTAAAACTAGGCGTTTGCTACGAATGGGATAAAAAAATACTTTTCCAAGTGCGTATTTCCGTAAACTTAAAAAGGATTATACTTTTATCTAACAAAAGATGACGCCACATCGTTACGGTTTACAAACGTAATAGATTATTCACTTACGCGAAATTACATGCAGTTACGCGAAATAATTTTCATTTTGTGTAATTTCGCAGGATTACGCGTGATTGGCGAAAATTCAATTTCTAGAAAGTAATTTCGCGAAATTTTGTAATAATTACGCATTAGCGAAACTTTATACACGCAAAATTACGGCGCAAATGGGAATTATTAAATTCTGCGTGAAAAAAGTAAAAAATTAACAGAGTGAAAAAATATTTAAATTGGGGGAAGCTTTGGTAAAAACTAAAGTTTTTTCCCTTTCGAAATGTGTTTAGCACTCAAAAAATGTTTTTTTGCATTAAATCGGACAATTTGCAAAAATTTTTATTCTGTAATTTTATATGAATTTGGGAAAACATTTTTTTTACATTTTTATCATTACACCCCATTTCACGGAGCAATGGTTTTTGTAAACATTTTATTTATTTATTTAAAAATTCCAAGTAGAATTCAATTTTGCTTTGGTAAAATGTTTGAAAAAATGTCATAAAATTTCACACCCCTAGTATCGTTTGAATTCACTGAAATGTTACTAAAAACCATGGGGTGTTTCAATGCTGAAATCATGATAAACTTAAAAAAGAAAAGTTTCATAGTTTTAAAGACGACACCTTTATTGTAAAAAAATACTTTACTCTATTGATTTTGATTACATAACTTTCAGTTTTCAGTCCATAGTTCACACCCACGCAATCTGAACCATGCAGAGTTCTATAGATGAGAGCGTTCGTTTTTTTCTTTCGTTTGTTCATCATGAATGACCCATTTCGAGTTTGTTTCTTTTTCAATCGTTCAAAAAAAATTGATTTCGTTCGTTTTGAAATTTAGCGTTCATTTTCCATCTATTCCGTTCGTTTTCTGACTAAACAATTGTTTAATACAATTGTTCAATAAAATAGTTTGCTTATAAACAAAAAAATAGTTTTATTGTAATAGTTTGTTTAAAAAATCGTTTTATCAGTAAAAACTCATGTTCAATTTTGATTAAATAATCTTTTTGTTAAGTAAAAAAAATAAAGTTTTTTTAGAAGTTTGTTAATAAAATCTATTAGAGTTAGTTTTTCAAAATCTTTTGGAAAAATCCGTTTATTTATTAAAAAACTATCGTTTCTTCAAATTGCTTCGTAAATCATTTGCTTTTGTTTTATTTTTTTCGTTTTAAAAAATCAATTTTTCTTCATTTCTCTAAACAATCAAAGTGGTTCAATCGACGTTCGTTTTTTTAACGAGACCATCGTTAACAAACAATTCCGTTCATTCTCAAAAATAATTTTCGTTCACAATTCCGTTCAACTCTGCAGAGTGCGCAGCCCTAAAATATCTTTAATCTCACGAATTCAGAACTAAAGAGTTAAAAAGAACAATGGGGGGCGTACAACATTCAAAGCTAATGTAAGTGTTATTTTGTATTATAAAATAGTGTAATGCAGATCCTTAAAATACAGGTTACTCACAAAAGGATGAGACTGTAAAGACGACTTCTGTCTTGAATATAACCTTTTTTATGGCAAGAAGATAAACAAGTTTACAGTTGCTGAGAGGCATACATATTAGCAACAGTAGAAGTTATAAACTCTGTACAGACGGATCTAAAATCACATCCTTTGTTTGTGGTAAACCCTGTATTAAAATTAGGAATATCAAAAAAAAATTAAATCCAATAATGTGGGCCTCAGTTATTTATTTTGTACAAGCATTTTATTGACCAGGGATTCGAGTGCAGTAAGTGGACTATCATTTCTTGAGGAAGGACAATTCTCTAAGGTTTACAAGGTATAAAGTATACAAATCGTTACATCAAGTTAACAGTACAGTGAGAACCAGAAAACTGAAAATAGGAAGACGACATTAAAGTACATTTAATGTTATTACAATGCAAATAGCTTAGCTAGTTAGCTACGTTTATATTGATAAAAGAAAAAGTTTCTATTATTAACAATTGAAATGGAAAGTTACATATTTATTGATATTTACGACGAAGACTATATTAAATCACTTTGTAAGTGAAATAGGCTTGTTTACACTGCACACTTGGTCTGCATTATGTTCATTGGATTATTTAAGTCATAACTTGAGTCTGAAAGTCTAAGTTTTCTGGTTTTCACTGTACAAAACAAAACATCAAGAGCGTCAATTTTTTTAATTGATCTTTTTGTACCAAACTGTCTTCAAAATACTCGTGCAGTTTTAATTTTGTTCCTTGTTAGTTGTTATGGTGTTATGTTTTATTAAATGCTGAATGATCTAACAAAGGTCGAAAGCAAACAGTAAAATTACCAATGCAGGGAAAATAGTTCCAAAACTAACAGTAGTCTAATTTCTAACACTGAGTATTAGAAATGGGCCAAGTCTGCAAAGAGGTATCTTTTCCAAGAGTATTTATTTTTTAAATCCAAGCCGAGTAGAACAAGACTACCCAATACATTTATAAAAAATCACTAAAACTATATATTGAATCTATAAATATCAACTTTAAACTAATGATAAACTGTGAGAATTAGTTTTTGATAATACTTTATTTTATTTTTGAACATATCCCTACTTTAAAACAATTACCGCAAAATGTCGCGTTTTTGGAATATATTCTGGTTTTGAGACAATTAGTCGAATCCATATTAAAGTCAATTTATAAGCATTTACACACTTACGTAACAAAAAAAAGATTTTATTAATAAATTAAAATAGAAACAAATTTTTTTTAAAAAACACTGCTTTTTATAATTTTTAAATCATAATAACATTGAGAAATCTAAATATTATTATTATTTTGTTCTTACAATATAGATTGAACTAGTAATGCGGGAAGTTGTGTATTTATAATGCGGGAAAATTAAATCAACTTAATTCTATTATTTGACAAATAAAATGAGGAAAATAAGATTTTGGAAATTATATAGCAATTATTTTTACTTTCTGTGATATATTATGTAAATTATGAAAGTGAAAGCGGGGTCTACTTAAAAACGGGAAAGTTGGAGTTTGTCTCGAAAACGCGATGATGATTTCAATTCATGATATGTTCAAAAATGGAAAACCTGCAATTTTCTTGAAAACGGTCAAGGGTTTTAATACATAAAAAGAACTCCTTTTAAAATTTTAATTTCAGAAAATAGTTTAGGAATTGTTGTCCTCGTCATGCTTCATAAAATGTTGTTTATAGTTTTTACTATCGACTTTTACACTAAATACATGTACTGGGATCCTAAAAACCCAGTCTATGGTAGCTGAGCCCCCCATGGATCGGTGAAATCTATGATTTCCAGGGGGGGGTTTGGTTTTGAACCACAACGGTTTTCTAAGCTCCCCCCCCCCCCATCCGCCCCAGCTTAGACTGAACAAATATAAGCCTCCTTGGAAAAAATCATGATTACAACCCTGGTATCAATGTATCAATTTATCAATGTATCAATCTATTAATGTATCAATGTATCAATGTATGGATGTATCAACGTATCAATGCATCAATGCATCAGTATATCAATGCATCAATGCATCAGTATATCAATGCATGGATGTATCGATCCATCAATGTATCAGTGTATCAATGTGTTAATGTATCAATGCCATAATGTATAAATGTATCAATGCATCAATACATCAATGTATCAATGTATCAATGCACCAATGTATCAATGCAATGAACGTATCTGAAGCCTCATTCATTGCAGATCTGTCTGCACCTATTATAAAAGGAACATTTTTTAATCTACACAAATTTTAGTTTCTTTTATTAACATACAGGGTTGCCCACAACGGATAAGACTGTAAAGACGACCCAAAACTTTAAAAATATGACGATTTGAAGGTTGATTATTAAGGTTTCTGCATTCCATTGAGTATTTGATGGTTTACTTATATATTATGCACTGACATAAACCAGTTTTGGTCTACAAGGAACCCTGAATGAAAGAGAACGGACTGAAATAATTCCGTACAATCGTCTCTGAAGTCTCATCCTTTGTGGGTATCCCTGTATCTGAAAATGTTATCATCATAAAGTTATGTAAATAAGAAGACGATTGTTTCAAATGAACATAAACAAAGAAAATACTTCATTATTTAGTTTTTTCATGATCAAATAAACGTTTAAAGGGTAGCATCTTTAATAATTGCGCTACTGATTAACAAATTCAAAAATTTCAACAATGTTTCTCCTTTTTCGCGTATTTTGAACTGAAACTTAATACTCAACTAAGAGAGATTAGGAAGTTTTCATTAATTTAATGATTATTTAACAATTGATTTTGTACGCCCCTTGGATCCCCATATTAGATCTAATGTTGCGGATCCAACGGATCCAGATCCTATAAGCACTGTTTTAGGGATATATGACTACAAGTAAAGTACCTGTATCAATAAAGGTTCCAAAAGTGCCAGATTTTTTAAGGTAAACTATTATTTGTATTGGCCCTTTTTAAATTCACAATCGATATATTCTTCATTTATCTTTTATTCTGTTTTTTGTCTATTTTTCAAAAATCTTGACCCCTTACTTTTTGTTTATTTTTTTCCAGAATCGATTTAATTTTGATTTATATCAAGCTGTTAAGTATGCATATTATTATTCACTGTCCACTAAAACTTACTATTTCTTCGATCCTAGTACTGCAAATTACCGCAGTACAAACACAATAAGCTTAGTCGAGGGTGTATTCACATAAACATAGAATCAAAAGAAGCTGTCAATTAAAAAAGCTTCTCTTTGATTACTTGCAGACTTGTTTTTAGAAAAAAGCTTGTTAACAATCAAAACTTAAATATAAAAGTCGTCTTCATTGTATTGGGATAATCGCTTACCTTTACATACTGTTACTAGCATATATAAGAAGTATAAAAATTCAAACTTTAAAAATCTTTTCTGTAAGATGATGGAATTAGCATAGCTCAAATCTTGTTTAAAAAGCCCGACTTCTCAAATCAGATAGATCTAGTCCGCTTTGAGAAGTTGCGTCAAAGTCGGCTAAGTCGGCTAAGTCGGCCATACATTTTATAACGGTAAACTATTGAATTAGAATTCTTTAATAACTTTCATTAAATTATACTAAATTAAACTAAAAATATTAATAAACGGACAAAACTAATTACAGACATTTTTGTTAAATCTAGGAAAGATAAGAAAGAGGTAAAAAATCACATCGAAGAAGCAAAAAAACTTTTAAATTCTCAAATCAGGTTATATTTTAAATTATATTAATTAATCAATATCTTCCTTGCATTAACTCTCTCACTAGGAGATGGGGGGGGGGGTAATTCATACAACCCCACCCTGTGTTTTGTTCACCTGAAACTCTGTTCTACACTTTTTTCAACTTCAAAGTTACAATCAAATTTAGCATTTTTTTATGCGTAGGCCGTAGGGCTAAGGACAGTAAAACGCATGGTTGGTATTTAAAAAAAGAATAACAAATAGTTAATAACCTGTTTATTATTAAGCTACAGCTAGATCTAAATTTTTATATTTGATAAGCCCTTAGAGTTCTTTTTAATGAGCTGGCTTTGAGAATTTGGACTTTACAGAAACATGAATCACTCTATAACATATTCCAAAATCTTTCTATATAAGACAAAAACAGCCTATTCGGGATAGAGATAGATAGATAGGGCTAGAGTTAACTTTACTAATTCATATGTTCAGGAAAGCACAGGGAGAGAATATAGTTCGATGTCTCAACGTGGCCTATGATGATTTCCGGAAAGAAATTTGGGTGGTAAGTATGGACTGGAAATTTAGTGCTTATAAAAAATGTCATGTTCTTTAAGTTTTTTGTTCAACAAATTCCGGTTATTTTTGCCTTTTCCTAGGATTTTAACAAAATAATTTTTCTAAACGATTTTTCTAATATTTTACAAAAAAACCGTTTTTGTTGATATCTTTTCCTAGAGTAAAAATTGTGTATTAGAAGCAATCTTCTGGAGCATTATATGATTTTAAAATAGCCATAAAATATTCAAACTTACAAAATAATTTATAATACAATAATAATTTCAAAATTAAAACTATAAAAAATATACTAATGTTCTTAGTTCCAACATTTGGAGCATTATGTTTACAGTGAGAATCAGAAAACGGTGGAATAGGAAGACGACATTAAAGCAATAAGGCATATTTTTAAATAGTTTTAATTTGAAAATACGTAGTTTCACTAGGAACTCATCAAATCACTTTTTAAGTGAAATGTGTTTGTTTATACTGCACCATGTGTCTCATGCTCATTGCAATATTTAGTGTCATAACTTGAGTCTGAAAGTCGTCTTGTTATTCCAGAGTTTTCTAGTTGTCACTGTATTCGCCTTTAAAGGGAATGACCGGCTTGATAATAATGTTAGTTGAGCTAAAAATGCGTTAATGAAGAGATGGTTTTCAGGGTTAACTTGAGACCTCATGTAGAGGTGTTTTTACGATGTGTAATAGTTCAGCAAGAGCGCAAATTCAATCTTTAAAATCCCTCTGGATTGTTCTTTCTGAAGGAATAATTTTACCATGTCTACCCAGACTCTCCCTTTAAAGGTTAGAGAGTACGTAGATGGAACTGATCTTGAAACAGTAATGAAGAATCCAAGCCTGTGTCCTAGGTATAATCAGTCATATGCATTCCGTTGGTTTGTTTGTCGACATTCATGGATCGTTTATAGATCGATTTGGATCGTTTTTGATTGTTTTGGATCGTTTTTTGTTTGTTTTTAGATCGTTCATGGATAGTTTTTAGATCGATTTGGATTGATTTTAGATCATTTTTGGATCGCTTTTGGATAGTTTTTGGATGGTTTTTGAATTGTTTTTGGATCGATTTTGGATAGTTTTTGAATTGGTTTTGAATCGTTTTTGGATCGGTTTTGGATCGTTTTTGAACTGTTTTTGAATCGTTTTTGGATTAAATTTGTCCTTTATTTTATTGAAAGCCGATCCAATTATGGTCAGTATAAAATAAGAAATTATGCCTAAGAAATTTAGTCTTTAACACAAATTCTGATTTTTAATCCCTGTCTTTGCAACATAATGATATTTCAATCTAAGACTTTATGATTACTAGAATTTATAGTTTGAAATATCGCAGGTTTAATCTTAAAGAGTCCATTAATGGCGGAGTGTAATTCTTTAACATTTTAAATTCAAATCATGGTTTTTATTATGCTACAGGAATGAAGTCTTTGCCACAACTATAATTAGGCTATAATTCTTTTTAGATCATATATAATGAGAATTACATAAATATAGTAAACAATAAAAAAATAGTTGCAGATTTTTTGCCTGTAACATTATAACTTGTATGTGTATTTTAGCAATAAATTATATCTTATCTTATCTTATATTATCTAATCTAAGTTTGAAATTTCAAAGGTTTAACATGTCAGGTTTCAAAGATAGGGATTAAAAGTTTGAGTTTGTGGTGGAGACTTAATTCCCATGGACCCCGAATTGCTTTCTTACTAAATATTACTACACGACTTACAACACTAAGTACAGACTTCAGAGACGACAATACAGAGTTTATACTGTCTGAATCCTTGTATTTTTGATTGGCTGCAACTGTAAACTGTAAACTTCTATCTTATTCTGCCAAATCATTTAATAAGCACATAAACGACTATATTCAAGAAAGAAGATTTATTTATATCTAGGTATCTTGAAATGAATAATAGGTCGTCTTTACAGCCTCATCCTTGTGGGTAACAGAGTATATGTCACACACTATACGAAGCAAGCTTTCCTATTATTAGTCTGTTGCAACTTTATTATGTATTGTAATTATTTAAAGGGACTGTAAATTTGATTTCCATTGACCCTCCGTGCAAAGCTGGCAATGCCCGATTCACAAGAGAACCCTTAAAAGATTTGTCTGATCAAGTATGAATTATAGATATCAATGTTTATGATTTTCAAAACTGATTATTTCCAATTGTGGTTTCACAACAATAGTTGGAAAAAATGTGTGAATTATCAGAATTAAACACTTTTACACCTTGACAAACGGCAATATTGTCTGCATTATAAAATCAAATACAAATTTTAAGTGTTTCCGTGAATCGGGCATAGCAATCTCCGGGTCACATACAATTACGCTTCTTTTAAAAAATAAATTATCATGCTTGTTTGCAGTCTCCTAAGTCCTGAAGAGAAGATGAGAGTTGCGGTGGGAATTGCAAAGGTAGAGGAAATTATTTTAGGTGTAAGAGTTTACCAAAAAGCTTTTTCCCAAGGGCGACTTCCAAAGTTACATTTTCCCAAGTGGAAATTGACCAAATGTTAAGATTTAGAGCCCTGAGTCGCCACGCCGAAGGCTGCAAAAGGGGGGGGGGTTATCGCTGCGGCTAGGATGGGCTAGTGGGCCAAGTCCTGCGGCTAAAACTGGAGTGGGATCGAGTGCTGTGGCAAGGGCAGACTTGGGAAGATGCCGCTTGGAAAATAGCACAGTTGGGAAGTTGCCACTTAAAAAAATAATCTTGAAAAGTTGCCTCGTGGGAAATATGTTTTGGGAAAGTACCTGTTACCATATTCAGTATTCATCAATACTTGAATAAAATGTTGATTAGAAACTGGAATATTTAGGGGATGAGTTATCTGCATGGTTTACGATATCCTGTTGTCCACGGAGATTTCAAACCAAGTGATATTTTACTTACTGCTAAGGTTTGTTTATTTTGATCTACAGAAAGAGAGATGGAGATAGAGATACAGATAGAGACAGGGATACCGATAGAGATAGAGATAGAGATATGGATAGAAAGATAGAGAAATATAGACAGATAGAGCTAAATAGACAGATAGAAATAAATAGACAGATAGAGAATAGTCAGACAGATAGAGATAGATAGACAGATAGAGATAGATAGACAGATAGAGATAGATAGACAGATAGAGATAGATAGACAGATAGAGATAGATAGACAGATAGAGATAGAACGAACGAAATTTGTTGTAAACGATGTTGTCGTCCATAAAAAAACGAACAAAGGACTAACGATTTTGATTGTTTAAAGAAATAAAAAACTTTCGTTCTTAAAAAACGAACAAAAAAGAACGAAAACGAACAATTTAAAATCGTTTTGAAACTTCAAACAAACATACTTTTTAAAAGTATTTTTAAAAACTGTCGTTTTTAACTAAACAAACAATTTTTTAACAATCTTTAAAAAAACGATAGTTTTTACTGAATTATCGATTTTTGAACAAGCTTTCGAAAATTTTTATTTATTATTCTGAACGAACAATTTAATTGACCGACGAATTAGATGGAAAATGAAGAACAAAGGAATTGAGTCTTTGCCACAAACTCTGATTTTCCAATCACTATATCTTTGGAACCAAATGGTATGGTATATTTCAAACTATCAATTCTGTTAAATCAAATAATAAGAGTTTGAAATATCAAAGGTTTACAACATCGGGTTCTAAAGATATCGGGGTTTAAATATTTGATTTTGTTACAAAGATTCAATTCCTTTTGAAAAATAAAGAAATAAATTTGTTGTACGATTGAAAAAAAACACGTTTTTAGACAAAGGTCCCCCGTCTCACTAACTTTGGACTCTGGGATTTCAAGAAATATTTTGTTGAAGAAACCCTACCGGCAGATGTCGTCTTTCTTAACATTCATCAGGCTCCAGAGGTAATATTTCCCAAATAGATTATAGTACAATAGATGGCAGCGTAGAATTTGTACACTCTCAGTACAGCTGTATTCTGACGTCACAAGTGTCAATTCAGTTTTTGTGTCCAACAAAATTATCAGTAATAGTTTTAATCTTAGAAAAAAAGTGCAATTTTATGTGTTCTTTATTTTCGGTTTTTACACTTTTTATTTAATCTTGGAAAACATGTCAACTAATGTGAGAAAATTTTGTTTTCCTTGTTATAATTGTCGCTTGTTACGTCGTGTATAATTGGCCCATTTCTCTGTTGCCACCTATTGTACTTGGTAATCTATTTGATATTTCCTGATGCTCCGAACTTTAATTTTTATTGACCAGGGTCTCTTTGAAAAGAGTTTGTCAATACGAAAAAAATTAAACAACACTGACATGCAGCACCACAATTACAACTTTATACATACAAGCGGCGAATATGGAAACTAGCAAATTGTATTTGTATGGAACCAAATTGGATTCATGTGTTTAGTTTTCTTTTTGGGAAACCTACCAAGAAAAGTAAATATTGAATCTATAGCTCAAACTAATAAGAAAGTTATGTTTTTAAATTTTTTTTTTGAAACACCAATTATCCGTTTGAACAGGCCCCAAACATGGAGCTTAGGTATAATACCGGAGGACCAATTAACATGGAGCTTAGGTATAATACAGGAGGACCCATAAACATGGAGCTTAGGTATAATACAGGAGGACCCATAAATATGGAGCTTATAAGGTTAAATACAGGGGGACCCATAAACATGGAGCTTAGGTAAAATACAGGGGGACCAATAAATATGGAGCTTAGGTAAAATACAGGGAGACCCATAAATATGGAGCTTAGGTAAAATACAGGAGGACCCATAAACATGGAGCTTAGTTATAATACAGGAGGACCCATAAACATGGAGCCTAGGTATAATACAGAGAGACCCATAAATATGGAGCTTAGGTAGAATACAGGAGGACCCATAAACATGGAGCTTAGGTATAATACAGCAGGACCAATAAACATGAAGCTTAGGTATAATACAGGGGGACCCATAAATATGGAGCTTAGGTAAAATACAGGGGGACCCATAAATATTGGGCTTAGGTAAAATACAGGGGACCCATAAATATGGAGCTTAGGTAAAATACAGGGGGACCCATAAATATGGAGCTTAGGTTAAATACAGGGAGACCCATAAATATGGAGCATAGGTAAAATACAGGGTGACCCATAAAAGATGGAGCTTAGGTAAAATACTGGGAGACCCATAAACATGGAGCATAGGTAAAATACAGGAGACCCATAAACATGGAGCTTAGGTAAATACAGGGGGACCCATAAACATGGAGCATAGGTAAAATACAGGGAGACCCATAAAACATGGAGCTTAGGTAAAATACAGGGAGACCCATAAATATGGAGCTTAGGTTAAATACAGGGTGACCCATAAAACATGGAGCTTAGGTTAAATACAGGGGGACCCATAAACATGGAGCTTAGGTTAAATACAGGGGGACCCATAAACATAGAGCTTAGGTAAAATACACGGAGACCCATAAACATGGAGCTTAGGTAAAATACAGGGAGACCCATAAACATGGAGCATAGGTAAAATACAGAGGGATCCATAAACATAGAGCTTAGGTAAAATACAGGGAGACCCATAAACATGGAGCTTAAGTAAAATGCAGGGAGACCCATAAACATGGAGCACAGGTAAAATACAGAGGGATCCATAAACATAGAGCTTAGGTAAAATACAGGGAGACCCATAAACATGGAGCTTAGGTAAAATACAGCGGGACCCATAAACATGGAGCTTAGGTTAAATACAGGGGAACCCATAAACATTAAAAGCATATATTTACACGTAAAACATAAGGAAACGATACAAATTAGTAAAACTTCTGGTAATTGAGAACACATATTCTATCGTCCGCTAAAACTATAACTACAGATCCGAAAACTATATTTTTGAAAGGTTCTTGAAAAATGGATTTAGAAACATGTGTCACACTTTAATATTTGTTTTAATCAAAATTTTTTTTTTTAATTTTTCCGACCTTTATTTTGGCAATTTTTTAACCCTCCCTAGCACCCAAACTTTAAAAGTTTTCGATCTAATTTTTTATTCAACTAGCCTTTGAAGGCGCTTCGCGCCCATCTTCTAAATTAATTGTGAACATGTTCTCTTTGTGTACATCGTAAAACAAAACAAAAATAATTCGCGGATTTTCACAAAAGATAGATAGATAGATAGATAGATAGATAGATAGATAGATAGATAGATAGATAGATAGATAGATAGATAGATAGATAGATAGATAGATAGATAGACGCGTGCGCAGAACTCTGATTCACTTTCCCTATCTCTCTCAATGCCATAAAGTTCAATTTTTCTCCGCTAGATGTAGATATTTCTCTTTGTAAACTTTGAATTTGAATGTACCGTCTCAACTAGTTCAATTATAATATTAGAAAGATAAGGATATCATTAAGAACTTCTTGTTCTTTAACATAAAGTTTATAAGCCTTTAAATAAATTAGAAATAAAACAGAATTATTTCGGAATTTAAAGTAATTCTCCATTAAAATACATTTCTGTCCTGTAAGCGGGATGTCCATATAAATAGTTTTTCCATTAAATTTTTGTTAAGCCGGGCAATCACAAATGTGAGCTGCTCTGGTTTCAAGAAGTTGACAAATTATTATCCAAGAGTTCTAGTCCACTACGGATAGTGAAATGAATTTATGAAATTTTTATTTCCTCGAGCTGGGAAAGCTCTTTTAAAGAATTATCCTCAATATCTTCACCTTGGTAAATTACATGTGGATTTCATTATATTTAACATATTTAACATCTGTTAAGCTTTTTGTTTCACCATCAAGTTTCACTAACCAGGCTTTTAGGGCGCTTCGCGCCCATGTCTATTTTAATTGTGAACATGTTCTCTTTGTGTACATTTAAAAACCAAAACAAAAAATAAACTTTACGGATTTGATGTTAAAATTTCGTGGACTTTGAAAATTTATTGGAAATCAAATTTTTGTTCTTGAATTTCATAAAAAAATTCACGGATTTACAAAATTTTAAAAAATTTAAAAAAAATAAAAATTCCCTGGGGTTTCAAAAAACGTTGGTCCGATCGGTTTAGCCGTTTTGACGTTTATTGGATACAGACAAACACCATGGCAGACAAGCTAAATTTATTGTGGTAAATTTATATTTTCAAAAGATACAATTTGTAAAAAAAGGTAACACTATATTAAAGGGAGTGACCGGCATATTTGAACATGTATTTGGTTTAATTAAAAATTAATTTTTCATTTCTTATTCTTTAAACTGCAACGAGTCTAAGATGTGTCTCACAAACTCTGAACCACTAGTTCAACCGCTACCGCTGCTGGTTTTTTTCTTCGAACAATATACCATTGGTCTGTTTTCTGTTCCTCAATATTAGTAAAAATTTCAATTTTTAACTTTTAATGTTAACTCTATAAAGGTATAATTCTGATTATAAAATTAACTTAAACTATAAACTTAAAAGTATAATTTGGATAAGTGATGAAATTCGATTTAAAATTTTATTTTTTACCATTTAACAAAATTGTTCTAGGATGTGTTATTCTTCAGTGGATGGTTGAAAGACCACCCTGGGATCTACAGGTAAGCAATTTAACTGTTTTTGCATATTTTTAAATTTTCAAAATTTCGTAATGATTATAAGATAATCTAGCGGTAACAGTATAGCTATCTCTGGGACTTGGGTTCCCTCAAGAAAAGTTTAGCCATTTTTAAAAACAATATTTTTGCAACGTATGGTGTAAACCTTAAATAATTCAAACTTGATTATTTGATCTAACATAATTCATTATCTTAAATATCTAAGGTCTACGCCATTGAGTTGCAAAGATATAGGGAATATATATACATTTGTGGTTTTTAAATGTTGTTTCCCTAACAATTCTAATTTGTTCTAAAAAATGGTATCTTATCACACAAAAGTTTATTTTCATAAATTATCTATAGAACAAATATTCAAACATATAATAAGCATTAAACGTCAAAAGTCTAAAAATTTCTCTCGTTAAAAGTTTAGTTATATTTAGGAACTTTGCACTCGGTACAAATACAGATTGAACAAACAACATGAAGCTCTTCGAGACGCCATGGAAAATAAGGTAACCTAACATTAATATAATTTATCAGTACTAAGGATGTAATGCAAGGAAAGTTATTTCAGAAGTGTACTCATCTTTTGTACTGCAGTGTACTGTCACTGGGCGGTAATGTAAACACAAGACGGATATCAAAGCCTGACAAGGGATCCATCTTTCACATAAAAAAATCAATGAAATATTCTGGTCATAGGAAACTTTTATGTGAATTATCAAAATTATCAAAATTTAATGCTTTTTTAACCGTCTGGGATACTAAACAAACACTAATGCATCTATTCTTGTTTACAAATTCCGCCCAAAGAGAACTGGTTTCAATGTACGCAGAGTATACACGACCGCAATTAACTTTCCTTGCATTACATTCTTGATCAGTATAAACTTTATTACAGGGACAGTATGCGTAATTATAAGTGACCCTTCATCAGGGGCTTATTCAACAATTTGTCCAGGGGAGGCTTAAATTTTTTTCTCTTTCCAGATGGGGGGTTCAGCACCCGTTGGGGCCTAAAAACCCCCTGAAATTAATAGATTTTATTGGTCCAGGGGGGCTTAGCCCCCATATCCCCCCCCCTGAATACGCCTCTACCCTTTATTCACAGTACCCTCAAAATCTTTGTTCGATAAAGAATGAAGTATATCAATGTTTATAATTTTGAAAAATTATTATTTTCAATTGTGATTTTTCCACAAGATAACATACAAACAGAAATTATCGAAATTAAACAGTTTTAAACCTCGTAGAACGACAAAATCTTTCACATTATTTATCAAATAAAGGTTTCAATGGTGCCGTTGTGAATTGAGAAATGCCATCTTTTCATGATGG